GGGGTGGGTGGGACCATAGGCCATTTCCTTCAGGTGGGTTGCTGTGAAGTTTTAAATGAAAGCTCCAGATCTTGGAGCTTGAGCCATTTCCTGGCTGCTGCACAAAAGAGTTTTTAAAGAGGGGTCGGAACCCGCCCTGTAACAGCGGGTCTTCCCACTGCGTGGGGCTGTACTTACGTGGTGGTCTTGGTTTCTGACCATTGTTCATAGAAATGCTCTCTCACCAACTTGCCCCACTGTCCCAGTTTCTCTCCTCTTAGAGGGAAAACTCTGATTACCTCAACCTGAATGTGAAACTGTGATTGAAAAAAGTCAAAACGTTAAGTTTAAAAGCCAAAAGGCAAAACTAGCTAAGGCCTCCTTAGACACTCCTCAGCCTGCTCAGGAGTGTGAAGGGGCACATAGGTGAAAGGGCATTTCATTCCTTGGGGCACACTTTCCGTGCCCCTGATGAAGAGGCACACTAGCAGTATGCAGTGTGAGCTCTTTGAGGACTGAGGCCAGGAGGATGCATCCTCCCAGCACTGCCTCTTCCAGAACCTACGGGCCTCTGGGTTCTGACTGTGAAGTTAAATATCCACTTGATTCCTCCAGGTGGAGGGTGGGGGCTTAGCTGCCTCCATAGGAAGGGCCATGACACTGTGTTTTAGATTTTGACCTTAGAAGTGGATACTAAGGACCCAGCAAAGACATCATGTGTGGGTTCCCACGGACAGGCAGAAGTCCTCCAGGGGCTTACATGCTTTTTGCCAACTTTCCTGTTAGCAGCTTCAGTTTTGTATCACCCAGAGTGAGTGTGATAATGTTGAAATCGCTGAAGTTATGGGTCATTTTAGGTTTTGATGTGGGATTTTTTTTTTTAATTGGAAGTAGGAGGCAGAAATTGGAGAAAAGGGATTACCCTAGGAAGGGGCTGCTGGCAACTAGTCAAGTTGGCTCCCCAAAGCCCTGGGGGCACTCTCTGACCTCAGGCCTGCACACTGGGCCCTGCAGGTCACAAGAAAAAGTTCCCTCCTAAATTCAATTAGGATTTTGGAGAATTTTTGCACAGTAATAAGCTCTGAGTTGCTCTTCAGGCTTCTCAAAAGGGAAACGTTAACTCAAAGATTGTAAAACTATTAAGTATTCATTCCAGTGGTGTTGCTGACCTAGTTGGATAGTTGTACCTCAGAAAGTAGGTGAGAAACGGCTTCCTCATTGTCTTAGGTTGTGAAATACTAATGACAGAAGAAGAGCTCACTTACGTGCCAAAATTCCCTTTTATACTAGTTTCTCAGTGCTTTAATATTTGTAACTTAAATTTTAAAACTCATTTACAAACACTACTGTAACTTCAGTGAAACTGAATTGTGTGATTGAAGCTTTTTGCTTATTATAGTATTTATTACACTACTTAATTCAGTAAATATATAAAAGTAGCCTTCAACTTATTTTTATATTGTTTTACATGTTTTTACCTGCAGTCGTGTATTTGAATTGACCTTGGTAACAGATGTAATGCTAAGGACCAATAAATTGCCACTGAACAAGCAAGGCCTCCCTTAGTTAGTTGCCTGTCCCTGTAGACTCAGTCCCAAGGTGTCCCTGGGGTGGGGCTGAGGAAATGACCCACAGCCTGGGACTGGGGACTTTCCCTCAGCTTCCCTAGGAAGCCTCTTTGCTGGGGCTCCCACTCCTCCCCAGACCTCTAAGTGGCCCTCAGAGAATAAAATTCTATGTGGAGAACCACCCTGGCTTGGGTGTGGGCACTGCCCAGGTCTCAGAGAAAAGCCATCCCACCCTCATAGGTCCCTATGAGAAGTCACATCCTCCAGTGCCCCCACCTCATCTCCGACAACAGGGCTGTGGGTTCTATGGATTCTAGGCTGCAGCAGGAACCACTGCTTCAGAGGCTGGTCAGCTCACCTAACCCAGGTAGGAGCACTTCAAGGTGGCCACTGTGCACTGCTTTACAAGGGGAGGATGACCAAGGCATGCAGGGTGCAGTAACTGTCCCAGGTGGCAGGGCCACTGTCCTCGCCTGCCTTGGATCTGAGACATCCTCTCCTGGCTCCCAGTGGTGTGGGCCTTGGAACCCACATTCTAAGAGGGCACAAAGCCCCGGACTCTAGAGCAGCTGTTTTCAACTGGTGTGCCACAATAATTTTTTAAATGTGCAATACCTGACTATTTAGTCAGGGGCACTGACCTCTTTTTCCTTAGATTGTCAAATTTAAAAAAATGACAAGCCATGGCCAGATAGCCAGTTGGTTAGAGCATCGTCCCAATATGCCAACACTGCGGGTTTGATCCCTGGTCAGGGCATGTACAAGAATCAACCAATGATGGATGCATGAATAATACAACAGCACACTGATGTCTCCCTCTCTCTCTCAAAATCAGATTTTAAAAAAATGACAACAGCCAACACAACGATAGCCTTCCAGTGTGAATGAATCAAAATTATACCTTTTTTTGGTCAGATCAGCAAAAAATATATTTTTGTGTATGTTGCAGAATTTTAGAAATTAGTTTATGTGTGTCATGAGAGGAAAAAGGTTGAAAATCACTGCTCTAGAGGAACAAAACCCAAGTGCCCAACTTTTCCTTTGCAGGTACCAACCTCATCTGCCCAGCAGCAGTTCCTTGCCCGGGGCCTTGCAGGGGCTTCTGGCAGGGGCCCAATCAGGTCACACCCCCATGGGGGCACCGGGAGGAGGGGCCTCTGCCCTTTCCAGAAAAAAGCTGACCAGGGAGGGGCACCGCCTTGAGGTGGCATGTCCACAGAGACCCTGTTTCCTGTCCCACCCTCCACACAGGGAAGGTTTGGAAGCTGGCCCACAGGGGAGGGTGCAGCCTGTCCTAAATGGTGGGTGTGGTGGTCTTGGGTTTGGAGTTTCTATGTGATCAATTAGTCAAGTACAACCAAAAGCAAAACTGCCTGAAAGGAGCCAGGAAAATTGTGGGAGTTGGCAGCAGTATAATGTACCCCACAGCCGCTTTCCCCAGAGCCTCCAGCCTCCCACCTGCAGGGCCAGGTTTGAACCTTGATGGAGCCTCTGTGCTTGTGCTGCTCAGAAACCACCAGGGTTTGGGGATTACCCCCAAAGAATTTCCAGGGAGGTAGGGGAGACAGTAAATGGGGAAGGGCTCCTGGGCTGGATGATCTTTGAAGGCTGGGGTGACTTAGAGGCCAAGAAGCCTGGGAACCAGAAAGGGGGCCTATCCCCACCCTAGAGCCCAAAGACTACTGAGCATGCTTGGCAGTGGTAGCCTCAGAATTAAGGAAACCTGGTGGGGTATGCATGTGGAAAGTATAATTTGGAGCAGAGGACCTCAGGTGAAGCTGCTGA